GCTCCACACTCTCATAGATAGAGAGAAACTCCTCGATCTTGGAAATGTTGGACACCTCATGTCTCATATTGACCACTAAACTCTCCACTTTTCGAGACAACTTGATATTTTGGAAAGCAAGTCTTCCCGATCCCTTCAATCATACATCCCTCCCCCGCTTGGTTGATTATTACTTGGAGAAGACCTCAGTACATCAGTGAGATCTGTAATATCCCAAGATTGAGCATTTTGTGCCAATGTACTAAAGTAATCTAGGGCCTCATTGGGATCCTTGTTTAAGAACTCCCCATTGCACATCATGTCAATGAATTATCGATGGCCCAATGCAATCCCTTCGTAGAAGAAACTCACAAATTGCCGTAATTAAAAATCATGGTGTGGAATGGATTGTAGCAATTCCTTATAATGATACCAACATTGATAAAATTGCTCATTGGGATTTTCTAAAAAAAATTGGATTTACTTTTGAAGAGCGGTGGTCTTGGGCACCGGGAAGAATTTGTTTAAAAACTCAAAAAGCTTTTGTGACCAAGAGATTATGGATCTAGGCTTCAAGGAATGCAACCATGTTGTGGCTTTGTCTTTAAGGGAAAAGGGAAAAATTTTAGGTGACCTATGTCTTCCATGGCATGATTAGTGAGGAAGGTTGCAACTATTTTCTCGAATTCCTTAATTGCAAATAAGGATTATTTCTTTCAATTCCATGGAATTGAGGAAGTAGTTGTAACATTCCTGGCTTAACTCAGAAGGCATGAGCTTGGACCGGTAAGAGAATGCATGAGGGATTGGTGCTACAAGTGGGTTGGAGATAATCCCACATTGACCTCGTCGGAGGATCAATTGGGATGTTGTGCCCTTCATTCCTAGGGGGAAAGTGCATTCTAGGGTTTGGCATTCTGGGGTCTTGCACTCCTCTGCCCCTTGGGACATTAGCACCAACATCCACAAAGTTTTCACTGCCATCCTCAGATGGGTCTTGGTCAATATTCATGTTGGGGTCTTAGGGTCGTCTAACCAATCTATTTTGGTCATCTCGTCCCCACATACAAAACAATATCTATGAATGAAAGGATAAGTAAACAAAAGTATATACAAGGAACAACGTACCTCAGTCCGTGATGAGAATTCATGGGACTTGCCTCCGTTGTCTGAAATTACCTTGTTAATTCAACGCTTTACCTTCCCCGACAACGACACCAAAAATGCTTGAGTTATTTTGTCAACCCTAATCTCCGACCATGATTCTGGTTGTGTGTATGACTTATACGGTTAGATAAGTGTCACTCTCCCTCAAATGTCATGCAAGAAATGGGGTGAATGTGTGTATGGATGAAAATGTGTGTACAAAAGTGCTCCCCAAGCGTAGAGATACTTTTGAGTGTCATGTTTTACTTAGAACGGTATTCCAAGTTTGTCTCTTCAGGGAAGGAAGGTGAATTGTGTGAAGGTGATTTGGTAAAAATGAAAAGTGTGAAATCTCTTGAGTTTGAGTTTTGGTGAGTGAAGATTGTTGCTAAAATGCAATAAAAATGAGTTTGGATAATCTGAAGAGGTCATTCCAATGGGAATTCCAAATCAACTCAATTCATTCAACCAATGGTGCCTAGGTGCTTGATTGATTCGTAGGAAGTGAGGGACTAACGTGGAGTGTAGGCTCAAGCATACCCCGTGACAAGTCTATGATGTATCAAGAGCTCACAACCACGTCTGCACTCAACTTAGTTAAACTAGACACTTTACACTACAAGGTAGAATGGAGAAGAGTTGATTTAGCATACCCAAGAGGAAGTTCCCCTTGAATCAGCCAACAAAAAGCTTAGCTACTCATGGTTGAAGTAAAAGCATTCATGATGTAAAGAGACATATAGAAGAAATGGAAATGAAAATGAGTTGAGAATGAAGCTTAGAACATATATTAAAGCTAGGAAGAAGTAAACTAAAAAGAGAAATTCATTTCATAACAAAATGAAGAAGTTGCAGAGCATACCTAGCAGAAAATGTAAAAGTGCAAGAACAATGGATTAAACTTGGTTATACTTGAAATAAATGAGCTTTTAATACAAGAAACTAAGATTAAAAGATTCTTACAGCATGTTACAAGTGAAATGGGTAAAGAAATTGCAAAAATCAAAGTTTTCTCTCTCTAAAACTGTCTTCTACCTTAGGAGCTTCTCTCTCTAAAAATGCTGAACTATGGTGTATAAATGGTAGAGTATGGTGTAATTTTCGTCCATGGAGCTCTATTTTCTGTATGCTATAGAGTTTCAATGATTTTGGGGAGGTTTGGAAGCCTGCACAAGCAAGGTGCAGACATGCCTGCACCCCCTACCACTCTGTCAGCCTCTTTCCTTCTCTCTCCTCTTCTTCCATGCGTCTTCTTTCAAGTCAGGCCTTTGTGTAAGAAATGGCATGGTGGTATGTCGAGCATGTTAGGGTAGATGTGGGAGAAGTGTAGGTGGGCCCCCCAAGCAATTTTTCAGCAAAACCTACCAGTAGAAATATTTCAATTCCTCCCCTTTCACCACAAAGACAAGTATAAAAAGTGGTACAAATGTGTATATGATATGCAATATTGTGCTAATCACACATGAAATGACAAAGCTAAATTATCCTCTATAAATACAAGAAGGGAAGGAGAGAGTTTGGAGGGTTAGGAAAGGAAGAGGAAAAAAAACGGTGAGCTAAGGAGAAAGAAGATTTTTCACCAGAGATAGCAGAAGGAAGAAGGGCAAAAGAAAAAAAAATTCTGAAGCATTGTAACAGATAAAAAAATTTGTTACTCTCTTCCTTATCAATTTAATCTTTTCAATCTTTGATGGCAGCTAATGGGTTTAAATCCAAAGCAAGTCGAAACTATTGCACCAATTTTGGGTCATTCTAATTACAACTCTACTGTGGTTTTCAACTCCTAAAGATTGAATGATGCAAGATTCTGAAGAGTTATATACTCTTCTCTCAAGAATCTCATTGCCCAAGCGAATATTTTGTCAAGCATGGTGGCACTTCTCACAAAATTCTAGAGGGGTCAAGCATGGGTATAGCTAAAACATGCTGCAAAAGTTGCCCAAAACCAACCTCTATCGCAAGTTGCTTATGGCGATACTCCACTAATCTCAAGAAAACTACCCACCAAAATTGGAAAATAGAGTCCTTTACTCTAATTGAGTTCCCTGGACAAAAAAAAAAAAGAGGAATCTAACGGAGCTTCAAAAATCCTCAATGTTGCCGAAAATCAGTGGCAGCAAGAATGGAAAAATTCAAGAATAGTGGAAGGATTCCAACCCCTTGAGTTTGCAGTTCCACCAAAATTATAGGAGTGTTTCACTCTTTTGCGAGTTTCTAACTCTTAAAAATTTTCTGATTTAATGGCATGTTTCTCCTATTGTTAAAAAGGAGTCTTCGATCATCTGTTAGAAACAAAAAAAAGCTAGCGACTTTCGGTCTTTCAAATACCATTTAAAACAATAATGGAGTTTTCCAACTCCAGGGAAAGTTTACAGCAATTTAGAGCCATTGGCTCTTAAAAAATTCAAGAATCAAAGGAGTTTTTAATTCCACTTCTTAAAAGAGTTTCTAACTCCACATTTTAAAGGAGTTTTCAACTCTAGTTTTCACCTTGGTCTATCAACCTACTCAAATATTGATTGAAACCATACCAATCAATTTGCCCTGAATTGTATCAAAGATGGCAACCTTCATTTAAAGTAGGTAGAGCACTCCTCCTTCTACACCAAGGGTGAAAGTTTCTCAAACTTCTCAAGTTTCACAGTCACAAAGGCAAGCTATTTCGGAGCTAGCTATTACTAGCCAACTAAAGAATATGCCAGTTCTTGTAATGGGTGTTTCTAGCATTAAGGAATCGTTCAGTGAGATGCAAATAAAATTGGCAGAGAAAGATGCAGAGATAGCCGTTCTCATAGCCCAATTGAAAAACCAAGCTAGCGGCTCAGCCCAAAAGCATGTACAAACAAATAAAGAAGCTCCAACTAATGTAGCACCGGTGACTCAAGTTGACTTAAGAACAATAATTGCTCAAGGAATTCGAGAATTCCAAACATCTATGACTCTACCTGTGCTTGGGTATCATAAATCATACCCAAACCATTACGATACTATCCAATTTCCTCAGGGTTATCCAAAACCAAACTTTGAAAAATTCGATGGGATCAATGGATCGCCTCAAGAGCATCTCGCTCACTTTTATTCAGCATGTAGGGAGTTAGCTTTATCCGATGCCTTGTTAATAAAGTAATTTGTGCAATCCTTAAAAGGATCAGAATTCACTTGGTACACTCTACTGCAGTCAAGGTCGATGAACACATGGGACGGAATTCAAAGGGCATTCTTAGCCCAATTTGTCGGTTTAAAGAAGAAAATTTCAATAATTGACCTTGCAGATACTCGACAAAGGACAAATGAAAGCATTAATGACTTCATGACAAGATGGAGAACTCTTAATCTTCAATGCCCTGAAAAGCTAAGTGAATAGTCTGTAGTTCAAATGTGTTCCAATAATTTGCTGCCAAAGATTGCAACGTTTGTAGGCACGACAGAACCTTAGTTATTTGATCCTCTCATCTCCAAGGCTAGCTATGTTAAAAGACAAATAGCTCGAAAAAAGAATGTGCCTCACAAGTCTCGAATGACTTACGAAAAGAACTTTGATAGTGAAAGTCCAGTAAATAAAAGGTGGCCATGCCTACTTTTCTCAAAGTCAACAAAAGGAAAGGAAATGACAAAGGAAAAGAAATCTCTCAAAAAGGAAAGGAAACTTCTAGAAAATTATCTTTAAAAGAAAGGAAAGATGTCAAATAAACTTTTGAAGATGATGATGTTGAAGAGATTTTTAATTCCTTGGGAAAGGCTAAGGCAATAGAATTACCAGAGCCTAAGCGATCATCCGAGGTTAGAAAGACCGATAATCTAAAATTTTTTCGATACCATTGAATTGTTTTCATTCTGTAAAGGATTGCTATATCCTCAATAATATTATTCAAAAAATGGTGAATAAGGGAGACATTGAAATGCAAGAGTTCTCTACTATTGCCACTTCAAATAATATTTCTAGAGTTGAAAACGAGTTCATCCCCACTGTCATGCTACCAAAGGGCGCAATCCGAGTTGCTTTTGTTGTCGACGGTGAGATTACCCATCGGTAAGCTTGCCCGGGCATGCTCCGTTCAAAAAATCCAACAATTCCAACGCGTTATGAGTTTATGAAAGAACCAAATTTGGATTGTTGGAGCGATTCTTGTGAATCAGGAGATGAAAGTGGAGATGAGTGGCAAACAAATGTCAACAAGAGTACTAAAAAGAGGACAAATGTTCTATCCCCTAGTGTCAAGCCCTCAGGCTACCTTGGAATAAAGTTTTGACGGAAAAAGGTAGAAAAGAAAAACAAGAAACATAAAAAGAAAAAGAAAGCTCAAGTTCTCTTGGAAAATGAATACATTCAGTCTGAAAATGTACAATTACTCTCATAGAGTATTTCCCGATTGGATTCTTTGAAGACAATATTGCTCAAGATGAAATGGTAATGCAATGTTGCATGGTCACAGGTGAAAAGGTGATTTACCTGACCCCAAGGTTGATGAGATCACCTTACGTTTTGGTAGATGCCTTTTCATCATCTCCAAGGGCTCTATTAAATTAAAAAAAAAGGGTAGAACCCTCATCTTAAAATCCTCAGGGTCAAGCAATAAAAGAATTATATGAAAATGAAGAGGCTAACAAGTTTAAAGGTAATAGAGGGATGTCATCTTGGCAAGGGCCTGGTGATGCATCATCCCTTGTACCATTAGCTTCTCAATCCTCAAAATATTCAAAAGTCATTCTAGTTGAGGCAACCCCTAAGAGGGTCCAAAAAGGTCAAGTTTTAATGGAGCCAAAAGGGAAGATTGGTTCTGAAATATGTACCAAAAGGGGAAGGAAAATTAAAAGAGGAACTTTTGAGACCAACTCATGTTACAATGTCGTCGCTTACTACCAGCTGCATTTTTCCTCATCGAAGGATAAATCAATCAATCCCTGAGAACATTTTGATCTTGACTACAAAGGAGTGAAGTCAAACTAAGCGACTTATTTTCTTTGAAGGAGAAACCTTGGAGATTACTTCATCACATACTCTAAAAATTTGAAACCTCATAAAGGCAAAGTCTTCTTCAAAACTGGTAAAAAGAAAGTCACAATTCATTAGAAGAATTACATTCCCAAGACTTCCTCTTTAGAGCCAATAGTCTTCACTAACATCGAACAAGATATGTTTACTAAAGAAGTCGATGGCAAAAAGTCTTGGGTCTTGATTTTCCAACAACTAGGAGTTTATTCAAAACCCAAATTACATAATTTCAATAAGAACAAGAAGTTAAATCTAAGGAAGAAGAGCCAAAGAAGAGTCCTTTTGAAAAATGCTAAGGAAATTAAAGTGGAGAAAAATCCAGAAGAGGTTGCACAAGTCAATTGTGTTTCCTTTGAAGAAAATAAATCAAAGGATTCTTTGGATCCAAACCATGATAACTATTTCTCACATGAGGATAATCGAGAATCCATAAATAACATTCAATGCAAAGCAAGTTTAATGTCATTTTTGACTAGAGCTAATCGCACAAAGTGAGGCTAAGTTGGATGAATTAATAAGTGCTAGTTTTATTCAAGAGGTTCAATATCCCACTTGGAACATGAATATTGTGCATGCTAAGAAAAGGAACAAACAAGTGCGCATCTATATAGATTTTAAAGATCTCAATGATGCATGCCTAAAAATGAGGTCCTGTTACTGATAACTAAATTGTTGGTGAATACATCTGTGAGAAGCCTCCAATAAAAAAGTCAAATTTTGATCCTTCTTGGTTGATGATTTGGTTTTGACCGTAAGACAACTGGATGTTATAGCGAGAAAGATGAGAGGAAAATTTGAACCAAAGTGGGAACAACCATATGATGTCACTATAATCTTTCCCAAAGGAGCTTATGAGCTTTCTAATTCTGAAGGGAAGTGCATGTGCCCCTGCGTGAATGGGAAGTTTGTTAAAAAGTTCTACGCTTAAAAAAAACTAATAATAATAAAAAAATTTGAACTATGTTGGCTTAATCCCACAAAGGTACATAGGCAGTCTAGTTAAACTAGATGCAGCCACACAAAAAAAAATTAAATAAGAATCAATCAAAATTTGAATTACATTGGCTTGATCCCACGAAGGGTACGTAGGCAGACTAATTTAACTAGATGCAGCCACCAAAAAAATAAATTGAACTACGTTGGCTTGATCCCATGAAGGGTGCATAGATAGTCTAGTTAACTAGGCACAACCACCAAAAAAATAAATTGAACTACATCAGCTTGATCCCGTAAAGGGTACATAGGTAGTCTAGTTTAACTAGGTGCAGCCACCAAAAAATAAATCAATCAAGCTTTGAAGTACATTAGCTTGATCCCACAAAGGGTACGTAGACAGTTTAGTTTAACTTGGGATAGCCACCAAAAAAATAAAAAATAAAAAGGGGAAAAAAATAAAAAAAATAAAAAATTGAACTATGTTGGCTTGATCCTGTGAAGGATACATAGGCAGTCTAGTTTTACTAGGTGCAGCCACCAAAAAAAAGTCAAAATTTTTCTAATCAAATTTCATTTATGTTGGCTTGATCCCCCAAAGAGTACGTAGGAAGTCAAGTTTAACTAGGTGCATCCACTAAAAAGAAAATTTGAACTACGTTGGCTTGATCCCATGAAGGGTACGTTGGTACTCTAGTTTAACTAGGCGTATCCACCAAAACACCAAAAAAAAAAAATTAATTAACTAGGTCATTGCGTCATCGGTCTTTCTAAGACTAGGCAAGCATAAAAACCGAAGCAAAAATAAAAAAATTTACTTCGTCGGTCTTTCTAAGACCACACAAGTAAAAAGTAAAATAAAAAAAATAACACAAAACAAAAATCAAACTATACTTAAATGGTCTTTCAAAGACCACCCAAGCTAACAAAAAAAAAAATGAACTGAATCACTTAGGTCTTTCAAAGACCAAACAAGATAACAAGAAAAAGTAACATTTACTCCATTAGTCTTTTAAAGATCTCCCAAGCAAAAAAAAAAAAGCCATAAGTCTCACAGACTTCCACATTTAAAAAAAATGTGCAAGAGTCGGCCAAAAAAACCAGGGGGGGGGGGCACATTACTCATCCCAAGACTTAGGTTTGACATTAAAAATTGTAGCTGAAAAGCAAAACAAAGGGCTCTACACATTAAATTTTAATATGGAGTGTAAAGTCGATGAAAATTCCGGAATCCACTCTCGTCTAGTAGTTTGCATCCCATTAAAAAAGGGGTTACATTAATCAGGTTTTTGAAATACCTACAAAGGTCATTAAGATAATCTATTTTTTTGAGTTTCATGCGTGATTTTGAAATTCACACACAACACTAGGGGGGCACTTCCTTCTCCTCTCTCCACCGAAATTTCTGTTTTTCCTTTGCTTTTTTAACCGTCTGAACTCTCCCAAGTTAGACTTACTCATCCTCCAAACGAACTTGAGTTTTCTTTTTCTTTTTCTTTTTTTCCTTATCCACCTTTTTCCCTCGAAACTTTATTCCAGGGCGGCCTGAAGGTTTGACACTACGGGATAAAGTATTTGTTTTCTTTTTAGTCCTCTTGCTGACATGTGTTTGCCAATCATCTCCACTTTCATCTCCTGATTCACATGAATCGCTCCAACAATTCAAATTTGGGTTTTTTACAAGCTCATAAAGAGTTTGATGAGCGCATAATATTGCATAGTTAACAGGTTCATTACATGCAATTTAACTCAACTTTGCAATTAAGTACTTAGAGTTAGCCAAATTTATAAATAATGTTGAAATCTTGATGTTGCAGGTAATTATAACTTAAATGATGGATTTTAGAACCTTGCAACAAAGTGTGGATGAGTGGTGAAGACATGAACACATTACATGAGGATTTGGAGGCTTTAAAAGTGAAAGAAATTAAGGAGGTATCAATGCTTGGTAACTCACCAACCCCCACACCATTCGGTAGCAGTACCTCGGTCTTCCTCCTTTTTGACCATGATCCATTTTGAATATGAATAAGTGCAAACCATGAAAGTTGTAGATTTGGATGTCCTCTGTATTTTTCAAAATTTTAGCTCAACCAGGTGGTTGGATCAAAAGTTAAGATAATTGTATGAAATTTGGTCCGGAGCAGGAAACCTACAGGTAGTTTTTACTCTAGTAGCCAAAACCTACTAGTAGAACGATCAAAACCTACTGGTAGGTTTTGCCTAGAATGCCCAGAACGCCTGTAACTCATGCTCCACTTGTTTGGGAGTCCCACTATTGATTCTCCCACTTGTTCCCTGATATCCCTTACACATCTACATGCCTCCCATCACTCATGCTTGGACTTTGGAGGCAATGACATTAATGAGGATGGGAGAGAAGGGGACAGCCATGATGGGTGCAGGCTAAGCTCTTCCTAGCCTATCCAATCCATCAAATCACCTCCCATTGATGGGAGGTCTGCACACACGTGCTAGAGGACTCCTATGGACAAAAATGTAGAGCTCCTTCACCATATATTCAGCACTGCACAAGATTTAGAAGGGAGGCTACCTAAGCTTAGGAGTAGTTTTAGTGAGATAAGCCCCAAGGAAGATGAATAGTGCTAGAGAGATAAAATTAATGTTTTTGCATTTTCTTCACCCATTTCATTGCAGTAAATTGTAGTTTTCTTGTAAACTTTATTTCTTGCATTGTAATCTCTTTTAATTCTAGTGTAATGAAGTTTAATTCAAATGTTCTTGCAGTTTTATTTTTCTGCTAGGATTTCCTTTTAAGCTTTAGTTATGTTTATGAAATGAATTCTTCTTTGTATTCTACTTCCTTTTAGCATCAATACAAGTTTTAAATTCCATTTCAATACCATGTCTCTTTTTATATTGTATGTCTTTCCTTTTAGCATGAGTAGCTAAGCTTTAATCCAAGGGAGACCTCCTCTTGGGTTTGCCATTTTAACTCATTCTCTTTCTCTCTCATAGTGTATGTTGATTCAGTTTGACTAGGTTGAGTGTGGACGTTGTTGTGAGTCCTTGATACACCATAGTCATTGTCATGGGGTATGCTTGGATCCTCACCTACATTTTAGTCCTGCGCCTCCAACGAA